CCACATCGCGTATCGTCCAAACGTTCATTGACACGTAGAGTGTCACGTGACCTAGAGTACCACGCGTGCATGCACAATGTTGTTTGGCCGACATGGTCACTGTGACGTGCCGTGCACGCGACCGTAGACAGTAGCAAAGCATGAGCATACAGCAGCAGCACTATCAAACATAGCAGCATAGTTTGAGCAGTAGCACGAAGCTGCGTACACCCATTAACCGTCATTTTCACCATAATGCTACACCCACACACGTGCACACACACACATACAAATGCACACACACACACACACACACATACACACACAGACACACGCACACACACGCACACACACACACACACACACACACACACACACACACACACACACACACACCATTGGACCATTGGACGCCAATCGCCGGAGGCGGTGATAGCGATGCTACAGCAGAAGCCATAACAGCTTGTGCTGGGATTCCACCATTCAACAGCTTGCAAGGCTGAAGAATTGACCGCCACTACTCAGCCTGGTCTACACCACACAGCTATGAAGTGGCTTTTTTTGGCCAGTGAATCCCTACTTTTTGGTCTTTTTCATTTTTTTTTCACACACACACACACACTGTACATTGCTTTGCTGTGCAGTACTGTGTTGTGTTGTGCAGTGCAGTGCAGTACATACTGTACTGCACTGCACTGCACAGCACAGTCTCAAGCTACAGGAGGGCCGTCGCATGCTACAGGGGAACGGCCACAGGCTGCACGAGTGTGGGCTGAAGCCAAGCCAGCCCGGGCTCAAGCTCAGCAGACCCACCCACCAAGTCTGCAGGACCATTCTGATGCCTCAACAAGTCCCACTCATGTGATCCCCCCGAGGCACGTTACGCGGACACCACAAAGACCTACTTCAGTCGACTATGAGGGCCAGCAAGATCGCCTTATCGCATCTTTCGGATATGTTGTTTAGGTACACACTCAACAGACTCGTGCTATTACTTTTAGGTAAACAACCGCTCTCGATGCTCTATTGTTATGTGGGCCGCGATCAGCTAAAACATGTCTTTGGGGTTTCGTAAAAAAGTTGGGAAATGACGAAATGAAAAAAATGTTTTTTTGGAGCGCGTTCACTCTGCACTTCATTCAAAATGATTCATGATGTGGCGATCATCTTCTCAAATTTTGTTCAAACACTTGTTTGGCGTTCTACTTCAAGTAGCTGGCGAGCAAAGACTGACAATGTCCGCATCTAGTGATACTAGAGCAGCTCGCAGGGCCAGACGATCGCTGTGCATGGCCCAGGTTTGTTCAGGTGTCTGCAAGTTCGTGGCGGCGGGTCTGCAGAGCGACGCTGACAATTTGTTGGGATCTCATTGATGTTGATGTCGACAGCGAAGCTGAATCGTCCCCGTCGTCTCCAGTAGCGAAGAGGCACAAGTTGTGGGCTAGTACATAATCATTTAGGCGGCGAACCGGCTGCCTTACGACGTTACTTGCGTTCAGCTCTCATGAGGCGTCTGACGCAGTCTCGGAAACGCAGGCGACGATCGAAAGTGTCACTGCCAGAATCGAAAGAGTGTGCAAGTGCAACGCCGCCCAGCGCATCGTGTTGCTTTCCAGGAAAAACTTGGGCCACGCCTTTGAACTGATGTCGTTGACATGCTCAAGTCGGTGTCAACATCTTTAGTTCCGTTGTATTGTGCTCCGCCACAAAAACCACTAAGTAATAGTTTGTCTCTTTGTGTCAGACTGTGCGAAAACTGTCATTTTCTATTTCAAAGTACATATTTTGAAAGCGGCGTTTGGGGCACTTGTAGACTACTTTTCTGCCCTGTATCACCTTCAAGAGGTCAAGTAAGGCCCCAAGAACTGTTTTCTGGAGGAAAACAAAATTTGAAAATTTTCACCCTAAGACATGTTTTAGCTGGTTGTGGCCCATGTATTCTCTGGATGTAGCAAAAGAAAGAGAGAAAGGGGTCCTGTTGGAAGAAGCCATAACTCAAAGTTATATCCTGAGGCGCTCATGCAGGTAACTGATAATAAACACCTGAGACCAATTTCCATTATTGCTTCTGCTCGTACGCGATTCTTAGAGCTGAAAAGTTGATGGTGGAGATTTGAGCAGACTTTGAGCAGAATTTGAGCAAACTTTGAGCAGAATTTGAGCAGAGCAGATTTGAGCATTGCTTATAGATGCAAACATAGTAAGGGTTTGTCAACTATTTCTTTTCACACTGCTGATTGCTGGAATGCTTTACCTGCTAGGCCCATGCACCGACTTTGGAGGTGGGGCGGCCATGGAGGGGGTCCGGGGGCCCTCTCGGCGGAAAAAAATTCAAAATTGAAGCCAATTGCAAGCGTTTCCGCGCATTTGGTGTCATTTCAGTGTAACTACAATGACTGTTTCTGATGATCGCTTACCGTGAAACTCGGAGTAAAAACACTTTTTCGTCCTCTCATTAATGTTATTGTTAGAGGGTACACGTAGATAGAGATCATTCCCAGTGCTTAACGTGCTGGGACGGTACACTGACACTAAATCAAACCTAAATCATGCATTTTGAAGTGGTGTGAGCCAGGAAAATTCATGCTGACATGTAGCAGTGGTGCTGATGGCGACAGCAATAGCGGTTTGATGCAAGGGTCACTGACCTTGGGCCGTCCTTGCTGTCTCGTCTGGAAATCCTTAGCCACCTGAGAACACGCGAGATAATGAAGAAGGCGGCGTATGGTGCCAGAGTCAACCAGGTGGAGAGAGCATAATTCACCCCACTGGTGGTTTCGACCTCGGGTGTGGCGGGCAAGGAAGCCACTATATTTCTGAAGTCGCTAGCTGCTTTGGTTGTAGACAAAAACAATGACTTGGTATATTCTGCCGTGAAGGCCCGTCATGGGTGAGTTACGCACCCGGGTTTCTTTTTGCCTGCTGCGATGGGCAGTCACGTGCTTTAGGGGTACAGGGCCTCTTGCATTCGCCGCAAGTTCGGGAGCCCCTTTGCAGCATATTGCCGCCGGCTGTGCTGACACGGGCAGAGGCGTGACTTCGCCTTTGCATGCCGGTAGGCAATCTTATTAGATAACGATTTCTTGTGAAGCTTTTGTGTTCAATCTTACATTTCAAATGAGTGTTCTATATATTTCCGAATTTGGGTTGTCTTTTGGCTTTGACTCAGTCTCTTACTTCATGGTTTCACGCGATTGGCCCAATTGGTGTTGTGAATAAACCCCTTCTCAAGCAGCAGCTGTGTTGGTGGCTGCAGCAGCAGCAGAGGCAGTGCTGATTGGGACAGCAGTAGCAGAGGTGCTGGTGGGGACAGTAGCCGAAGGGGAGGTGTGGGCGACGAAAGCAGCAGCAGCAGCGGTAGTGCTAGGCGACAACAGCAGCAGCAGCGGTAGTGCTGGAGGCGACAGCAGCAGCAACAGCAACAGCAGCAGTTCTGATGGCTACAGCAGCAATAGCGGTGGCGGTGGTGGTGACAACAGCAGCAATAGACGCGTTGCTGGTGGCGACAGCCGCAGCAGCCGTGATTTGGTGGTGACAGCAGCAACAGCAGCAGCGGTAGCGGCAGTGTGGCAGTGGTGCTGGTGGTGACAACAGCAGCAGTAGAGGCGTTGCTGGTGGCGACAGCCACAGCAGCAGCGGTGATTTGGTGGTGACAGCAGCAGCAGTGATTTGGTGGTGACAGCAGCAGCAGTAGCGATGGTGTGGGGCGTCAGCAGCAGCAGCAGTGCTGCTGGTGGTGACAGCAGCAACAGTAGCGGCGGTGCTGATACCAACAGCTAGCTTCACCTTGATATTTATCCAGTGATAAATTTAGCAGCATTCATGTCCAGGTAACTAGTTGTGTATTTGTACAGCTATGTTTCAACCTCACCTTTCTTCCAAGTCCATGTCTGAATAAATCCGTGAACCCGCTAGAAACCTATCCTCTTCCACAGGTGTATCATTTGAAGGTAGAAATAGTCAGGACCTGCTGCATCCCTTCATGACTAAGTTATTTACGGAGTACGCACCACGCTTGCCAATAACCGGCCTGTTCTGACCACTATGTTCTGGTCACGAAGAGGCAAATACTAGTAGTAAGATTATAAATTCTAGCTTGCTTCACCACAAATAAATTCTAGCTTGCTTCACCACAAATAAATTCTAGCTTGCTTCGCCGAGGAAACGCTTGCAGTGTAGATACTCAGGATGACATAGTCTGGTCGAAGGCAGGAAGCAGCACGACGACAAGCCTCTACTCCTACCGCTATACTTCTCATACTTGAGTCTTTACTTCTTTACTTCTTTACTTCTTTAGTTTTTACTTCTCAACTTTGCTGCTACTAGTGCTAGCTCGGCGTAGCTGTGCTCGCTGTGCAGGTCTGTGTGACTGTCCGCAGAGCTAGAGCTGTAGTGGGCATGATTATTAATTTTACAGTATGGGTTAGGCGGCAGTGCGCAGATCTACGTTTCCGCATGTCCCGCTCAGTGCAGCTGCGAGCTCACTGCCGGTCACCGCCGCGACCTGGTGACTGGTGTCAGACAGTAGTGACCGAAGCATGCATCTACTCTCACGCACGCACTCTCCGCTAGCGCTACGCCTATGCTTGGGGAGCTTGGTTGTTTCTTTCAGGCTTCGATTGAGTCACACTGCACTGTCTGTAACACGGTAACCAGGACTTTGAGTTTTGACTTCCGCTCCTGGAAGCGAAGGCCAGCACTAGCAGCCAGGCCCATGCAGGCCAGCAGGGCCAGACCCAGGCTAGCGATTCATGCCCACATGATGTAGTCATGTTGTACGTATGTATTACTGCACAAGGACCAGTGCAATACCGGCCGATATCTGCACGAACGGCGAAGCCGTAAGTGTCAGCAGCGACAGCTTGGCGGAGCGACTCGCAATATTCCCCAGTACACCGCCAGCCAATGACCAGATGACTATGTGGATGCACTGCAGTGCGATATTGCACCCCGGCGAGTGAGCGTGCAAATAACCTATATCTGCACGCTCACTTCGAAGCGAGCGTGCAAATAACCTATAT